CGTGACACAGCATACACGCGTGCCCGCTTCCCAAGCGTTACGTGGAGTGGCAATGAGTGTGCGTTCCAGATAGATGGATGAACCGTTTTTATCAGCAGGGGATTCATGCTGCAGTATAGCTCAAACCCCCGTTCGGAGGAACTCTAGAGACATTTTCTGTCCTCTCTAGAACAGATCTCGTCCCCCCACGCAGAAGCTCAGGAAATTCTGATTAAAAATGTAATTTCCAGGGTCCCAGAAGGAGAGGAATACACTGGTTCCACTCTCGTCACTTCCTGATCCCAAAATGGACCGGAAGGATGAGATTCATCTTAGATTTGTCAATTTTGAACTGTAATACAACATTTCCATTCAAAATGCGTCGAGTCACTCTGCAGCCCCAACACAGAGCAGGGAGGAGAATTCTGCTTTATCTGGACGATCTGTTGATGCTGACCCGCTTTTCCAGACAGGTAGCAGCAGTGTAACTCACGTGAAACCGGCAGAGTGATAACAGCTGTTTCCATGAGCAGACTTACGCCACATGTGTCAGACTTCATAGAGGCACATGCATTTCTCGAGCTGTGGGGGCGCTGTGGCCACCCCACACAGCAACTTATATAAATGTTTTTGGAGTGTCACAGTTTTTGAATGTGATTCAACACTTTGCCTCTGTGCTGCGGAATCATCATGTGTTGACTCACACAAATAGCAAGTGACTGTTGCATACATAACCGGCAGGGGGGGGTGCTCACTCAGCCCAAATGTTACACATTGTGAGACAGCTGCTGTGTTGGGCACACCAAAATCTGCTTTCCATCAGAGCAGTGTGCATCCCCGGTGTTCTGAACAGGGGGTGGATGTGATGTCCAGGGACGGTCCGCGTCACGGGGACTGGACCCTCCATCCAGAGCTGATGGCTTAGACATGGCAGAAATTTAGCAAAGCGGCTGTGGACCTGTTTGCAACATGAGAGAACGCTCAATGTCAACTGTGGTTCTCACTGAGCCCACGGGACGAACCACCGCTAGGGGTAGACGCGTTTGCTCACAGCCTGTGGCCCAAAATGCTTCTTTACGCACTTCCCCCACTCCCTCTGATATCATAGTTTCTGAACCGAGTTCAGGAGGAGGGATTGACAGCTCTCCTGGTGGCTCCCGAGCGCGTGAACGCCGTAGGGTTCCCAGTTCTACGACACCTGTTATCGGGGCGCCCGTGGAAACTGCCGTGGAGGGAGGACGCTCTCCTCCAGGCGGGAGGAGCAATCAGGAATTACCCAGAAATAGGCCAGCACCTTTGAGTCTGGTTGCTGAGCGGATCCGCTTAGAGAGGATGGGTCTCTTTCAAGATGTAGTGCGTACGATCCAGGATTCACGTGTTGCATCTACCACAGCGCTGTACACATCAAAGTGGACAGTTTTTCAGCGCTGCTGCACAGAGACAGTGGTACAGGCCACCCCGTGTCCACTAGGTGGTGGGCTGTCCTTTCTGCAGCAGCTGATGGACAGAAATCTGGCGTTCAGCATGATTAAAACGTACGCTGCAGCCATCTCTTCCTGTCACGAAGGTTTCGGGGACAGAACAGCTTTTAATCATCCGCTGATGAAGTGTTTTTTAAAAGGTGTACAGAGACGCAGGCCTGTTTCACACCCACTTTCTCCAGAGTGGGATTTAACGCTGGTCCTGCGAGCCCTGATCAAAGCTCCATTTGAGCCACTAGATCAGTTTCCAATTAAATTCTTGTCTCTTAAAACAGCCCTGCTGTTGGCTTTAACATTTGCTAAGAGGGTGAGTGATTTATCTGCCCTCTCTGTCGCTCCGTCATGTCTCAGAACTAGGCTGATGGCAGCTCAGCTGATCTGAGGCCTAATCCAGCATTTTATGCCTAAAACATCACAAGCTCTTTAAATCAAGAGCGATTTCGTTGGAGGGATTTTTTTCCCCTCCTCTCCACAATCAGAAGAAGAAGCATCTTTCCATCTTCTCTGCCCTGTACGTGCGTTGACGTGTTATGTAACACGCACGGCGGCATTGCGTCAGACTCAACATTTGTTTGTGCATTTTAGAGACGCATCTGCAAGTCGCCCGTTATCCACCCAGCGCCTGTGACACTGGCTGTGTGAGGCCATTTCTGAGGCCTACAGAGCATCAGATTTAGAGCCTCCTGACAACCTCAGGTCGCACTCGACCAGAGGTATTGCATCTTCGACTGCTTTGCATAATGGTATGTCAATGCAGGATATTTGCAGTGCGGCCAGGTGGTCAACACCCTGTTCATTTATTCGCTTCTATTTACGTGATGTGACGGCTTGTTCCATGATGCATTCTGTCCTTAGTGCTGAATGAATATTGTTGTTTCATGGAATCTCGTTTAAGCTCACATCTGACTGCATGCATTACAGTGTGAGATGTTATCAGTCACAGGTTATGACTGTTGTTCTTGTTTTATTGTCACTAATCAGTTCATGACTACTGTCATCAATCAGTTCATTTGATTAATAATCAGTTAATTTATTATTAATCTGTTCATATTGAAGAGCCGTGGATCTGCTCTGTTCACAGCCTTTTTCTGCCTCTCCTCTTTTCTGTTGAAAACCTTTCCGGGGCGTTCATGCACTCCGAACGCGTAAATTATGCAGTGCGCGTCTGTGCATGGTGCGCTTAATTATACAATGCGTATTTACGCACATGGAGAGCTGAGTGACAAGATGTTGTTTTTGGTCAAGCGGGCGCTTCTTATGGTGTTCGAATGGACCCAGTGAGGCGAAGACTACATTTGCTTTGCCCTTAACCCACCAGCGACAGCCTTAAAGGGCCAAGCCTATACAAAATAGAACGTTGGTTACGTACTGTAACCACAGATTCTATGAGTATAGGCGTAGCCCTTTAAGTGTCGGGCCTCACTGGCTCCTAAATGGCTGAAGAAAAAGCTATTTGGGAGCCGATTACCCGCTCTTAATGTAATTTATATGGACCGGGTGGGGCCCACACAACAGGTGGGCGTGGACTAAATTTTTTCAGTGCGATGCTTTGCATGACGGGATAAAACCCACCAGCGACAGCCTTAAAGGGCTACGTCTATACTCATAGAATCTGGGGTTACAGTACGTAACCAACGTTTCTGACTGAGTTTATGCTTTTTTGTTATGATTCCTTGACATTTGACACAAAGTGATCTGATTTACTATTTCATTGTTACGAGTTATGTTTTTGGTTTTTAGATTTTATTCCATGTGCTGTAAATATATTTTGTTACTTTTTATTTGATATTGTGATTTTTTTGTTAAGCACTTTGGTAACAGTTTCTGTTTTAAATGTGCTCTATAAATAAATCTGTCTTGACTTTGTGTGGATTGAGTAGGCCAATATAAACTGTTGTGATTGTGCATATAGCTGATGTATTTTTCTTAATGGATATGCTGTTTGCAGAACATGTATCTTGCATCATTGTGTTGTGATGCTGAGATTTATAGTGCTGTCATTAGTTTTTGTAGTGTGAAGTTTCCCAGACTGTTCTAATGCAAGCTGCACTCAGCTGTAGTATGCGATGGAATTGTTGTATCTTTAGTCGTAACATTTGAGAAGTGTTGGTGTACTTTCTGCTTGGGTGATTTTCAGTGAACACTTTGTCATCATCATTAGCCATGCACTGGCTTGTGATGATTTATTTCAATGTATTGTTGATGTGTGGTTTATGAGTGAGATGGCAGTACTTGGTATTTATTTTTGACCAATAAGCAGTAGCACTCCCGGG